GCTCAGCTTCGTAAGGAGCCGCGGGGGTGGGGGCGGGCGCCAGGGCCTGCCTTGGCAGGGGGAATCGGGCCCGAGGAAGGGGATCGGGATCCAGGTTCAACCTCCGACCTCGCTGAGGGGGTCGTCCAAGTCACCCACTGAGGATACGGAACCTGGATTCCCGACGAGCGAGGTTTGGGGGTGGACATGGGGACCTTCGGAGCCTGCCCGTGAGAACCGGGAGCCGGGGATTGGGAAACCAGGATACCAGAATTCCTGTTTGAGTGGCACCCGAACTTTGGATACCGGGACCATCTCTCACTATTCCGAAGGGGGCAAATTCAAATTTGGAGTTTATGCTGTGTGATTAGAGACTTAGACCACTTACTGTGTAACCTCAGGAAATTTGCTCGATTTCCCTGAGTTTCATTCGTTCAGTTTCATTCAGTGTCCGTTTATTGAGCACCTTACCTTATGCTGGGCATTGTGCTAGGTTCTGGATATGTCCTGGTGAACGTGACAGACAGGATCTTTGCTTTCCTAAAGTGTCTGGGTTGGCCTTTCCTCATTTTTTCTATTTGGAAAAATGGACGTCATCCCATCTTCTGATGTGATGAGGGTTCAATGAGGCCATCCTGGAAAAGTGACTAGCGTGGGGTCTGTCTTATAGGAATGGCTGAATCTGTACTTCTCAATTGGGGATGATTTCCCCTATTTAGCAAAGTCTGGAGACGGTTTTGGTTGACAAAACTGGGGGAGGAGGTGCTACTGACATCTGAGTAGAGACCAGAGATGTTGCTTAACAGTCTGCAATACACAGGACAGCCCCCACCAGCCCCATTCCCCAGCAAAAAATGATCTACTTCAAAATGTCATTAGTGTGAAGTTGAGAAATTCTAGGCTAAATAAATGGCACTTATAATGATGGGCCACTCTGAGCTTGCATTGTCTCTGGTGTTGAGATCAAGTCTCTGTGGTATGGAGAAAAAAGTGTCGACTTGAGAATACTGGATTGGGAGTCAAATCTTCATCTTCAATTTCTTCATCTGCCAAAAATAGGTGTGAGACTAGGCCCAGCAGAGCCGGTCATTTAGTGCCTAGTTGAGAGGTGGAGATAGGATCATGCCTATCAAACCTGTGGCAGCTTGTGGGGTACAGGAAGCCCTCAGTGAGAGAAGATGGAGGACCAGGATGAAAGTCCAGAGGCTTTCTATTTGAGGAAGGGGAAATGTCAGGACCTAGATTGGTCTGAGAACTGTTCAGAGGCCAAGTACTCCTCCTTGAGTGCGACTAACAGTAGTTTTCACTGCCTTTTTCATTTGTTCATTAAAGGGCTGTTGTGGGAGGATCCTCAGAGAGGCTAGACCAGGTTAGGTGCAGGGGAGACATTGTTGATTGGTGGTTAAGGATGCTGCTCTGTGGCTTGGACCCACCTGACCCTGAATCCAGCTCCATCGTTTGCTGCCAGTATGACTGAGGATAGGGGCCTCTCCTTCTTAAAGTTGTTTCCTCATTTATAGAGTGGGGGTGGTTGTAACCTTCATCATGAAAATGAAAGGAGATGATACATGCAAAGCACTTGGCACAGGGCTTTGCATATAGTAAGTGCTCAATAACGGGAGATGTTGTTGACTGCGTGGTCATGCCAGGGGAGGGAGAGGCTTCAGCATGGAGAGTGAGGACAGAGCCCGTCCCCACGAATGTGAGGGTTCTTTTTGCTCCGTGGGAGGGCACCCCCTGGGCCCAGGACTGCCTGGGCATCATGGGCCCAGGGCAGGCGCTAAGAGTCGCGTGTGCTCCTCTCTGATTGCTGCGCAGGTCGGCCGGCTGGTGGAGCTGGGCGCGGCGTCGGGACGGGCCACCGGGCCGGGCTAGGAAGGTGTAGTGGGCCTCAGCGCCGCCAAGGGCGGGCCCCGGCTCCTGTAACCGTTGCAGTCTTCTGTCCCTTCACCCAGGTGGGCAAGCGCAGAGGCGGGAACAAACTAGCCCTCAAGACGGGAATAGTAGCGAAGAAGCAGAAGACGGAGGATGAGGTGAGCAGGCTCGGTGTGGGGGGCTGCCCACATTGCCTTTCCTTTCCGGCCTTAGCACTTGGCTGACGAGCCCTGTCCTTCCCTGTCTAGCATCTGATCCTTGGATTAAGGGTACTGGGTGGGGGTAGGAGGGCTTTCAACAAGGTCCCCAGATAACTCGACTCTGAATTACTTTACCTCAAATCCAGGACCTCCAGGGTGACACTGGGGTTGGGTCAGCTGTCTCAGGACAGTCCTGACCCCAGTTCCTGGCCTCCCTGGCATCCCCTTCCCAATCCCCTGTGTGCCCCCCTCCCCCACAGGTATTAACAAGTAAAGGTGACGCATGGGCCAAGTACATGGCAGAGGTGAAAAAGTACAAAGCCCACCAATGCGGTGACGATGATAAAACTCGGCCCCTGGTGAAATGACCCCCTTTCCCCGCCTGCCCACGGCCTGGGACTCTGCGATGTACATAACTATTTAATGTGGCGGCAGCGGCGGCAGCCTTTCCCCCTAAGGACTTACAAACAGAAGGAAACCGAGATGCTTCCCGCAGCCGCGGATGATCCTCCAGGACTCTTTTTTACCTTGAGCACTTGCCTCTTGAGACTTCATAGAACAGTGGTTTACTGTCCCCTTTCCCCACCTCCTTGCTCTCTCTGGCTCTTTCTGTCTTTCTCTTCTCGCCCTCCCCACCCTCCTCCCCTTAGCCATCACTTCTGGGAAGTAAAGAACTTGATTTAGTGCTGTAGTTGTGTGCTTAGTTTGCCTTCTTTGCTCTCTCCCACCGAAACCCTTCCCCTTTGGCTCGTATTCACCAAATCCTGGGTCTGGCCCGGTGAGTGGGGCTTTGGTGGTATGGGAAGGAAGGGGCATGCCTCATCCAGTAGGCCTGGACTCTTCCCCAGGACCCACTGTAGCTCCTCATGTTCAAGGTCTCTTCACTGTCCCATTTGGGTGGGTCAAAGCTGTCATTCAACAGAGACTGAGTGTCTACTGTGTGCCTGGGCAGTTCTGGGCCCTGGGGCCACAGCAATGAACAGAACAAACGTTCCTTGCCCTTTTGGAAGGAAACATAAAAAAGAGAAGCCATTTTGGGGGGGTGCCTGTGAAGAATTACAGGGTAGAATCTGAGGGAAGGTGTCAGTTTTCATTGACATCTGAACAGAGACTTGAGGAAGGTGAGGAAGCAAGTTCCCAAGTGGAGGGAACAGCCAGTGCAAAGACAGGTAGGAGAGTGCCTGGCCCTTATGGGGAGCTTCGAGGAGGCCCATGTGACTGGAGTTGGCTGAGTGGGGAGGGTAGGTGGATTACATATAGAGCCTTGTGTGTTAGGGTGAGAATTTGGGACTTCATTCTTATTAAAAAGGCTTTGAGGGGTTTTGAGTTAAGGAGCAACACGGTATGTTTTATATCTTAACAAGATCCCCCTGCCAAAGTGGGACTGGGGTGGAACCTAGGACATCAGGCCGTGATTGGGAGTGGAAGTGATGGGGTGTTGGCAGTGCAGGAAGTGAGGAAGGCTAGGATCTGGATTCCAGTGAGGCTTCTATGTCCTGCCAGCTGCTTGCAGTCCTTCCATGGAGGCTGAGGTTGGCCCTGCCTGGCTGTATATACTATCAGAAGGAGCACACAAGGGCTTGTTTGCCTCACCTTGCAAACATGACTGTTGACGGGACCAGTTGTCCTACAGGAAGTTGGATTCCTCTAGTGATCTTCTAATACTCCTTATAATTCTGTGCCCTCCTGGCCCTTATGTTCACCCCAGTGGAGCCGGAATGTTTCAAGATGCCCTTGTCTCCCAGCCCCTTCTCAAACCTAATAGACCTGAAGCAATATCTGAGCCCCTGAACATGGCCCCACCTCCCAGGCCTTCCCAGGCATGAATGCTGAACAGCTTGGCACTCCAGCCTATCACAGGGCCAGATTCCTGTCCCCTTTCCATCGAGAGGACCACAACTTAGAGCATGGTGGTGTTTGCTGTGATCTGTAGAGATAGAGGGAGGAAGGACAGTCAGCTGTGGTTCTGGGAGAGGGTTGAGGTGGCACTCGCCTGGCCTCAGACTGCCAGATTCAGTCTGTGGGGCTGGGATGGTGTGTTCCAAATACTGAGCACCAAAACAGACAAAATTCTATCCTAGTGGAGCTAACATTCAAGTTGGGAGAAACAAATATAGGACACATCGGATGGTTATACAAAATATGAAAAAGGTGAGAGTGGGAGAGGTGGCAATTTTAAGTTGGTCTGGGTTGGCCTCTTGGAAGGTGGCATTTGTCCCAAGTTCTGAAGGAGGTGAGACTGGCAGTGAAGATGGTCCTTGGAAGTGTTCCAGGCCTAAGGAACAACAGATGCAGTCTCAAGCTGAAACCATGCCTGACTTGAAAGGGAGCAAGCAGGCTATGGAACAGGAGACATGCCCCCTCTCACTTACTGCTAACGCACCGTAAAGCTTATCTAGTTTATTTTCCACATTGGCTCAAAGAGCTCTCCTTCCTACTTTGGGGATGCTGAACTGGCCCAGATGTGACTAACCTTGGGGATGTAGTGTCGGGGGAGGGGACATATGAAGCCAATAGAACCACCTCCTCCTCCCTTGAAGCCACCACCAGCAGCTGGATCTTTAAAAAGAAACACAAGTAGAAGAAGTAGGTCGCCCCTGTAGCAGCTCAGCCTCTATTCTGGAGTGTCAGGAGACAGGGGGAGCTGGAGTCCTGGTATCCCCTTTCACCATGCTCACCAGCCCTGACCTGGGGCAAGTCTGAAGAGGGAGGAAAATAAAATTTCAGGTTTTGGTGAGTCACATAGTCCTGGCTTCAAACTATTCTGGTGCCTGTTAGCTGTGTGATTCTGGTAAGTCACTTAGCTTTTCTGTGGTTCAGGTTCTTCATCTATGAAATAGGGGTAAAATGCAGAAGCATCTCTAGAGTCAGGTTCTAATGTAAGGGCGATTTCATATAGTCTACGTTAACCCTGACATTTTAGACAGTTGAAGCAACTGGTTTGTGTTTGGTGGTTATTGAAAAATGCTTTTAAACGCAGGTGCAGTGTGATGAGATGCTCAGGGAGGGAGGTCGTTGTACAGTGAGAGGCGTTTGTCTCCCATCTCAGATTTCACGGTTGGGCATCAGCTCCTTGGGGTTTTTTTTTGTTTTTTTTTGTTTTTTTGTTTTTTTTTGCCCTGAGTGCTTCTAGTTGAAGTAAGTTTGCCGTGCGCAAGCTTGTGAGAATTTCATTTAGACTGACATTTGAAATGGAGGGGTGGGGGAAGTCTCGATTTCGTACTCAAATCCACCAGCTGGGGAGAGGAATAATTCAAGATTTCTGTGATCACACCAGATCCAATACTGTGGATCACACAGGCAGCAGGGGCCCCTTTACCGTGCCTTGACTCTCACCCTCGAAGCGCAGGGCCGCTGGAAACGACGTTGAAAGGGAGGATTTGAGTACTAACAAATCCTGCATCTCTAACTCGCTGCCCACCCAACCCTTATCTGGGGTGACCCCCAATCCTGAGCAGAAAACTACCGTTTGTACTCTCTCCCGAATCTTCCAAACCTAGTTTCAGCCCCTCAACTTCACTCTTCCTTCTGCTCAACGCCCTGTTTCAGGACTCTTTAGAACCCCGGGTTTCGAGTCTCAGCCAGACGCTTGGCAGAACAGAATTTGTAGTTCTGGGAAGTTCCTGCGCGACGGAAGGCCATTGCGCATGCGTAGGCGGCGGCTTTCCACACATGTCTCTGGAGTCGGGTTTCTGTCCCGCGGAGCCACCTGAGGTGGGAATTCAGGCTGCTCCCTTAGGGAGCCCAGCTGTTGGACTGGAGTTAGGTGCCAGCCAGCCCTTCCCAATCCAGTGCTGGGAAAGAGGTCTTAGGTATCTGTTTTTCATGAATGAACGGAGCCGGGACTGACTGCCAAGGGAGAGTGGGCTGAGAAACTTGTCTACCTCCTCCAGGATGGGGCAAAAATTGACCTTGTGCTTCTCCCGAGGTCAAAAAGTCTCTCAGGGCAGGACTGCGTTGTTCTTTGGGATTAGAGCCCTAGTTCTAAAATCAGTAAATTTAGTAAATACTGGTTTAGGAAGGGGCTGAATACAATGAAAGGACGGCCTTGAGCCTGGCGGAGTAGAAGCCATGTTATAAAAGAACAATTTTGCTGATGCTTAATTTAGATTACCTCGAACCCAGCAGGCTATATGTACGCTTATACTCATTTGACGAATGGGGACACTAAGGCTCTGAGTGGCAGGAGGTCGCCCATCTTGTTATCAGTAAGGTCAGGAGGGGAAACGGGTGCTCACGGGTCTCCAGCTCCACCCTGCTCAAGGGCCCTACTTTGTCCACTGACAGAGAAAGGATCACAAAAAGGCCTTTTTCATGACCCTGCCCTTACCTAAATATCCTGGGCTGTTCTACTTCATTCAGCTTCAGGTAGGAAAAATGATTATGCCTTTTGCTCCAGCGAACTATTTTATTAGTTCATTTCATTTAAAATTTTACATCCTTGTATAAAAATTGTCAAACAGTACTGCAAAGTAATGTAAAATGTGGCAGAGGCTTCTGTAGGAACTCAACCCGTTTCAGGCACTCCCTTTGTCTGGCTTTCTTTTGTCTCTTGGATATAAAGTACACCCCGGGCTGTTCCCT